CCGAAAGATTCACTCTTGTTTGACTTATCTCGGTAGGTGCGGTCTTCCGCCTCACGATCGTTTTTGATGTTATTGTGTCCGATTATCATTCGATGGGAGGATTCACTCTTGTGTGGCGTAACTGTCCGGAGCATACGCCCTTCCGCCTCAGGAGTATTTGTCGTGAATGCCGGGTTCACCTATCATTCGTTGGGAGGAGTCTTCCACCTCACGACTGTTTGTGGTGAATGCCGGGTTCACCTATCATTCTTTGGGACGCGTCACTCTCATTAGACTTATCTCGGTAGGTGCGGCCTTCCGCCTCACACTTGAATTTTTCATTAACATCGGGTTCACGTATCAATGTTTGGAAGGATTCACTCTTGTTTGGCGTAACAATCCGGAGGATGCGCCCTTCCGCCTCAGAAGTATTTGTCGTGAATGCCGGGTTCACCTAACATTCTTCGGGAGGAGTCTTACACCTCACGACTATTTGTCGTGAATGCCGGGTTCACCTATCATTCTTTGGGACGCGTCAGTCACTCTCATTTAACTTATCGCGGTAGATGCGACCTTCCGCCTCACGCTTGTATTTTTCGTGAACACCGGGTTCACGTATCAATGTTTGGAAAGATTCACTCTTGTTTGGCGTAACAGTCCAGAGGATGCGCATTTCCGCCTCAGGAATACTTGTCATGAAGACCGGGTTCACGTATCAATGTTTGGAAGGATTCACTCTTGTTTGGCGAAACAATCCGGAGGATGCGACCTTCCGCCTCACGCTTGTATTTTTCGTGAACACCGGGTTCACGTATCAATATTTGGGAGGATTCACTCTTGTGGGCCTGAACTTCGGAGGTGCGTCCTTCCGCCCCACAAATGTGCCATGAACGCCGGGTCCATGTATCGCTGTTTAGGGATATTGACTCATAGTTGGGTGTACTCCGGAGGTGCGGTTTTCCGCCTCGCGCTTGTGTTTTTCATAAACGCCGAGTTCGTTCCTGTATCGTCGTTTCTGGGAACTCACACTTAATTGCGTTGAGTACAACGGGCTGAAAGTCTTTTGGCCAAGGCAAGGCAAAATGCAACGAAACGATTCGCTTTCTGGTAATGCGCATATTATTGTCAAGACTCTTGTTCACTTGTGGTAGTGGAAATAGCGACTGGAAGACCGCCACATGTATGTCGGCGTCGAGCGGAAGCAAAGCGACCGTTGTTGTGAACTGAACCGCCGGAACTTAACCGCAATTACTCGGACTGTCGGTTTTTCTGTCCACCCACTACAAGGAACCGTGCGGACGCCTGTCCAGCTTCTTCGTCCCAATGTGCACTCAGGGTTTGTGCTTCGTCTTCGACTATGTATGCCAGCTGTTCATACTGTGCCGTATTGAAAGGTGCGAGTGAATGCCAGACACTCGCTGTAGTGAATCCGGAGCATGCTTTGAAATATCTCAACTTCAAAGTATGCCTACCATCGGAGCTGTCGTACGCAACGACGAAAAGTCTCTCGATCTGGAATGATATTCTCGGCGCCCCCTGTCCTCTGCCCCTGGGCCAAAACGCGAAGTTCCTCGGATGTATCCGGTTCGGTACTTCTGTGGACAGAGCGCATCCAGTTTCGTAGGACAGAGACCTATGAATGGTTGCCTTCTCGGCTGCCAGCACACACATGTGCATTCGTGTCGCCAATTCGACCTTCGGCACAAGACAATGGACAGAAACAACGCTACAAGAAAGTTTTTATCTGCAAGTGAACTCTCTTTGTGGAGGAGACGGATATGTCGTGTTCTTCGAAAGAAAATATTCCAAGCAAGTGGTGAGAAAATGTGTAAAACAGGTGCCCCGTTCGTTCGTAATCTATGGCAAAGCACACACCTGTTCGGGAGGTCAGGAACGCCTGACGCGCTGGTCGCCTCCAGTGCCTACGGCCGTGTCTTCTGTCCTTCCTTGTTTGCTAAACTGCCGCCGCTACGTTGGGCGGCTGCTGCTGTCCTTCCGTTTCTTAGCGCGCGCTGTGGCTCTCACACGAAACTCGACCGTAGCTGCGGCGTGAAGGCTCTTACTTCTATTTTTGACACTGTTTCCCGACAGATAATGAGGCCCAATCTACAATAATTCGGCCGTTACAACAACAATAATAAACCCCGAAGTAGATTGTTATTTCTGCTCGACGAATAAACGTTCTTAGACTATGCATAGACCGACGCGCGGACGCCCAACCTATCAAGTATGTCAATGCCCGTTCGGCTTAATCAAACACTACCGATGCCCCGAGCCCCCCAACTTCGAGGACAATATCTGCACCAGACCACCACACAATCTACTCCTCCGAACGCGTCCAAAAGGATTTTCTAAGCTACCCAACCGTACGGACCTGTACCACGCCTACCTCATCGGTTCTGCCATACCGTGCAAACTAAGCGTATTTGCGTCGCAAACGACGAAAATCTGGGGACACCTTTGGGGTGAGAAAGTGACGGATTGTTGTGCAGAGAAACGAATATTATTCAGTTGCTCTGCACCGACATACAATTCCACCACCAATCGTCATCACACACCCACTTCTATCGAGGGAACGCACACACCCTTTGCTTCTTGTCTCCCGTAAGAGCACCAACATTTTACGCTGGATCATATTCATTCATAGGTGGGGCTCGCGGAGTTCATTGGGGCTCGCGGAGTTCATTGTGGGTGGGGGGTGTACGATGCTTCTATCCGAATGGCTACTGAACGCAGGTATTGAACCCAATACTCCGGAGAATACCAACTCAAGACTGGATAGTCTCGAACGGGAACTTACAGTAGTCCATCCTTTGAGGCCACTTGTTACGCTGTCTCTTTTTGGGCTGTCCCTTTTCTCAAGAAGGGACAAAGTTGCCCAAAAAGGGACAGGATGGGGTGATCTTTTTTCGCTGTCCCTTTTCGGGAGGTTCAAAAACGCAAAAAAAGACCACGTAACAAGTGGTTTTTGGCCAGTTGTCCCTTTTTGAGAAAAGGGACAGCCCAAAAAGAGACAGCGTAGCAAGTGGCCTGAATGGTATCCATATTTCCAAAAAAGAAAAGTCATAAATTGCTTAGTCGAAAGTCCTTGTTTCTTATCGAAACATTGCTTGACTGCGGGCCTTTACTCTCCAACATTCTGGCCGGTAGGCCCGTTGACAGATCCGACCGGGTTTCACCGTCGGCTCCAAGGCCCTCTCCGACACCCCCGAGGACGCGTACACTGCTATCTGCGAACAGCAATTCCCACGATTACTACTACCGAAGGTGAGAGGAGGCGGGTTCGGCCGAGGCTTCAGCGAAATACTGGGATTGGCTGAAGCTCCAGTACTTACTTACAGGGACTAAGTGGTGTGTTTCCTGCCACCTCGGTGATACTCGTCCGCTGCTACTTATTAAAACACCGTTTATTGGATGTTCGCGCCAGCTCTACCAGTACGGATGTTGGAAAATACTGACCAGAGACCGGAACAGCACGGACAACAGAAACCACAGAAAGAACGGTTCTTCTCCACCGCAAGGAAGTGAGAGCCAATGCTTCAAAGTTCGGCATTGCAATGTCGAAATGAAAGCACGTTGTGAATGTCCCGCCCGTCCCACCCGTCGCCGCCGGCCCTGGTGGAACAGTTCGTGCAAAAAATACAATTCCATATTTTTGCTTCCTTGTCCGCTGAGACTTGCTTGGTCGGGGGGTCCGTTCCAGAGCAGATAATCTATTGTTCAGGAGTACACTGGTTCCGGTTGAAGGGCACTCATTGGCCGCCCATGGGCTGCCCGCGGGCTAGGGCATGCTCATGGGCAGTCTGCAACATTGTAGAAAGTGTGGGACACCCGTTGACAGGCACACGAACAAAAAAATAGAGGCGTGATTGCGAAGTTTCGCGATTAGCCCTATCGACACAGCATCGCCGGGAATGTTGGTGAAGAGTGGTATCGGCCGGCCGTTAGTTGTTGTCTCTGTCTGAAGAGTGCGATCTCACATGAGTTTGCGCCACTTGCATGCGAAACGCCCACTTACTTCATGACTGCAAAAACCGCAAGAGCACAGACGATTGTATAGTGAATCATGAGCCTTGCAGCAACCTGCCGAATGTGGTGCTTTGGCCCGCCCCAACTAGCATGCAAAGGAAGGGTGAGGGTCACCGAGCATGACCAGGCAATAAGGGTTTGATCAATCACGTTTGTTAGTTGATCAGCGGCTGCTATTTTCAGCTGTCCCGAGGCTGGGGACTTGCAAGTATCAGCTCGGAGCACCACTCCCCCTCCATCCTGCTTCGCAGCCTCCTGCTTCACCCACCCTACTTGCATATCTGCGATCCATTGTCTCAGGAAGGAGCAAGTGCCTGGACGCCTTCATAGTCGCATTGAACGAGGCTTGCGATGGAAAATAAAAGCGCTGGTATGCGTCTGCGACGGAGCTATAGCTTGTGTCGCTGGAGCTTTGTGGGGCATGCAGAAGTGCCCAGATAGTTAATGTACACGTCTATGGAGTTTTCCTAGGTTGAGGTCTCCTCGCACATCGCGCGCCATACCCAGCCAGCGAAGCCCAGGGGCTCGCATCTCGAGTCGCGCGCCGGCTGTTCAGGCCTTTTGTTGGACGTTGGCAGTTCCAATGGACAGCTTGCCGCGGAGGGAGCTGCAGCCAGGGTCAGAACGTCGGCAGCTTCTTGAAAAGGGAAATTCTTCTGCAGCAAGCGGGGGATCGGCGGCTTGGCCTCGAGCTCCAAACGACTGGTGTTTGTATCCGATATGTTGTTGGGCACGGGATCATCGCCTCTCTCCGCGAAGCAGCTATCGTTCGGACATCGTTCCAACAAGCCGATCGAGGGTGTCGTGTGGCCGGCCTCCCTAAAGCAGCTATCGTTTGATAATTTCTTCAACGAGCGTCGCAGTCACGTGGCCGGCCTCCCTGCAGCAGTAATCATTTGGACACTTCTTCAACAGGCCCGTCGTCGGAGCCATGTGGTCGGCCTCACTGCAGCAGCTATCGTTTGGGAATATATGTAACCAGCCTATTGCCGATGTCGTGGCCTGTCTCTCTCACGCAACTATCGCTTGGTCATAAATTTATCCAGCCCATCGTCGCAGTGACGTGGCCGGCCTCCCTGCAACAGCTATCATTTGGATATTTCTTCAACAAGCCCATCATCGGAGCCATGTGGTGAGCCTCACTACAGCAGCTATCGTTTGGATATTGTTTCAACCAGTCCATCACCGAAGCCGGATGGCCGGCGTCCCTTGGGCAGCTTTCCCTTGGACATCACTACTTCAACAAGCACATTGTCGGAGTCGTATGGCCGGCCTCCCTATAGCAGCTCTCGTTTGGGGCTGTCTTTCACCAGCCAATCACCGACGATGTGTGGCCGCCCCCCCTGACGCAACTACCGTTCGGGGGAGCTACTGACGGATTCAACCAGCCTATCACCGGTGTCATGTGGCCGGTCTCCCTGCAGCAGTTATGGCTTGGGCGTAGTTTCAACCGGCCGATAGTTGGAGTGGTGTGGCCGGCCTCCCTGAAGGAGCTATCGTTTGGGGATGTGTTTAACGAGCCTAGCGTTGATGTTGTGTCGCCGGCCTCTCTGAAGCAACTATCACTAGGGGGATTCAACCAGCCTATCGTCGACGTCGTGTGGCCGGCCTCCCTGCAGCTGCTATCATTTGGTCGGTTCTTCAACCAGTCTATCGCCAACGTCGTGTGGCCGACTACCTTGAAGCAGCTATCGTTTGGTCATAAATTTACAAAAGAATCGTTTGGCAGGCCTCGTTGCAGCAGCTATCGTTTGGCGGTCGTTTCAACCAGCCGATTGTCGGAGTGGTGTGGCCGGCCTCGCTGAAGCAGCTGTCTTTTGGCTGTTTGCGGCCTACGCCACTTATTTATCGGGTGAGACTGTTTTGGTGATGTATTAACTTCACGAGAGGTAGACGACCATCCTTCACACGGACGAAAGAGGGAGTGCTCAAAGAGCGGCTCCCACAGCAAGGAGGGGCCCCGTGAATCATCGCGGTGCCCCCTATCAAACGGTTATCTTACCAGTCTGCGTGACACAAAATCATCCAGCACATGTATCCAACAGCAATGTTCGCAGACTCACGAACCTCCTCCCTGGTTCTTCACGCAAGTGACTAACCATCAATTGGGCAAGAACGCCCCAGGATACATCAGAAAATACCAACATGGTAACATATGGAGGGGAAACCCGGCGTCCGGGCAAAACCCCTCAAGGAAAAACCCTTCCACCACAAAAAACCGTCGCTATCACAGCGGCTTACAACGGCCGCACTTACCAAAAAATCCAAGGCAAGTGCTAAAAACTGCTACATCTACTCCGGCAAATTCATCAGCTTGCGCCGGTGGTACTGCAGACTGACCCTGCTAAGGGCCTTGGTAAGGAGGTCCGCGTGTTGCTCCGTTGTCGGAACAAACTTGACCGAAATATCCCCCGACCTAAACAATCCTCGGATGAAATGATACCTCACGTCGATGTGTTTCGTGCGACCTGAGCTGAGGGGGTTCTGCACCAACGCTATGGCCCCCTGGTTGTCCTCAAGGACCTTGATGCTGCTACCACTGGTCTCTGGGGCGACAAACGAAAGCACAGCACGCACAAACAACGCCTCCTTGACACCCTCCCCGGCAGCAATGTACTCGGCTTCCGTTGAAGACAAAGACACGATACTCTGCGTCTTGCTACCATGGCTGACTACGGTACCTCCAACCGTCGTCGCCAACCCTGACACCGAACGCCTATCCTCCGTGTCGGCGTAGCTAGCGTCTACGTACACGGCCAGCCCTAACCCCGATCCCCGTTGGTAGGTGATGCCGAGGTCCCTCGTCCCTTTCAGGTAGCCGAGGATCTTCTGTATGGCATCCCAGTGCCGCTTCGCCGGGGCGTGGGCGTGGCGCGCTACCGCACGCACGGCGAACGAGACGTCTGGACGCGAGAAAGTCGACACCCACATCATGCTGCCGATGGCCTCCCTCACCGGCCACTCCCCTCCTTCCTCATCCTCTCGCTTCGGCCCTAGATCGGCACCAGGGGTAGCGGGGATGCGGGAAGTTGATTTCACATCGAAGCGTTCAACCATGCTGTCGATATACGCGGTTTGGGAGATTCTAAGAGTCCCAGCCTCTACATCTCTCTCGATGGCACACCCATCAAACCATTGACACTCTCCAAGGTTTTTGGTGGGAAATTTCTTGTTGAGAGAAGCAAGCAACTCCTCGCAATCCCCGTCAGACCCAGCCACCAAAATGTCATCCACATAAATCACGATAATCATCACCACGACTTCGTCTACCATCTTGCGGAAAACACACGGGTCCGCCTTGCATTGCTCGAACCCGTTCTCGACTAGCGTATCAGCAGCGTGGTACCCCCACTGCCTACCGCTCTGCTTCAGACCATAAATCGCACGCTCAGCCTTAGCAATCTTATGCGACTTGTCCCCGCACCCAGCGGGGAGCTTCAGAAAAACCTCCTCGTCTAGCGTAGCGTGTGTATACGCCTGCTTCACATCCCAGTGATTGAGGTTCATGCCCTTCTCGTTCGCTACCGCAAGCATCAGCTTAATGGATGCGGATGAGGGGCAAGGGGAAGACGAATGGAAATAATCGACGTTCGGGATTTGCGAAAACCCCCTAGCAACCAGACGCGCTTTGAACGTGTCTATCTTCCCTTCCTTGTTGGTCTTCCAACTAAAACACCACTTTGAGCTCACAGGCCTGCGCCCCTCTGGCGCACCGTCTACGAATGAAAACGTCCCCGTGCCCAAGTGCCCTTCAAACTCTTCCCTCATGGCCTGTTCCCACCCCTCTCGGTAAACAGACTTGGCAACGCCGGCTACAGTCATGGGTGGGGCTTCTACATCACTCGGACGCTTGCCTATGGGGGATTCACTTAGCTCGTGGGACGCCAGAGCCGTCTCGAAGGCGTCTGGCGAGTTGAGCATGAGGTCCACCGTACCCAGCAGGAAATCCTCCGCCTCTTGGCGCGCAGCGTGGGCCTCCTGCGCGCGCTCGGACAGCAACTCTCGCACCACCCTCGCCTCTAGCCCCTCCGCCACGTGAAGTACTGCCGAGAGCATCCAGCGGGTGAACTCCTCCGTGCTGCTGTCGGGCAGGCTCGCCACCGAGGCGAGCAGGGCTTCGGCACTTGTCGGCGACGGGGCCGATGTGGGCGGCGACGGGGGCGACTCGTACCTCGGATTTCGGCGAGGGTTCTCCCTAGTGCGGCGGCTGGTGAGTTCCGCCGGCTTGTCGAAGCGGGCGAGCCGCCGGGCCTCTGGCCCACAGAGCGCCGGGAGATCCGTCTCGCTGTCGCTGCCACTGCTGCTGTCGCTGCCGCCGTCATCGACGCTGCTGCCACCGCTGCTGCTGTCGCTGCCACTGCCGCCGCTACCGCGGCTACTGCTGTCGCCGCCGCTGCCGCCGCTGCCGCCGCTACCGCGGCTGCTGCTGCTGCGGCGGTCGTCCTCGCCGCCGCCCACATCGGCCGTGCCGGTCGACGTGGTAGATGGGGCGACGCTCGCGCTCTCCCTGCTCGAGGGGGCGCCATCGCCAGCGTCGCCCGCGCCCGACTCCTGGGGCGCGGCCGGCGGTGCCGCCGGCGCTGCGCGCGCGGGCGGCCCCGCGGGCCCTGGGGCTGCCGTCGTGCCAAGGTTGAAACCTGGTCCTCCATCCACAGGTTCTCTCTCCGCCCTCCCTCCACCTTGGTTCGACGCGCCCTCCCCAACCTCGTCCTCCTCAGTCGCGAATTCCTCTTCCTCCTCTGCGATGGGAGGCAGCGACTGGGGCAGGGCGGCGGGGGCGGCGGGCACGGATTGCCAGGTGAAGTTGCGAGTTGTGATCGCTCGGCGTTTTTCGTTGAGGATGCGCACGCAATCACGGTTGGTGTTGATTCCCGGGCCGAGGTAAAAACACTTTTGGGCTTTTGGCTCGGACTTGTGTGTGCGCTTGACCTTGTATACGGCAGGTTTGAGGAACGGGTACGTCGCCCCCGGCGGGGGAGGGTGCCCGTGCCACATCTCGTACGGCGACTTCTTCTCTGGGTTGGATGTGGTGGAGGTGCAGTTCAGGGCGTTGCATGACCAAGCTATGGCCTCGGCCCAAAGGGATGGGTAGTTCGGTGCTCCGGGGTAAAGAGTTGGCGCTTGGATACGGGCGGCTAGTGCTGCATCCTTGATCAGACCCAGTGCTCTCTCAGCTACACCGTTGTATTCTGGGCTGTGCGCGGGGGTGAACTCCTGTTTGATGCAGTACTTCCGGCACACCCTGCCGAACTCTCCCTCAAAGAACTCTCCTCCGTTGTCAGATCTCACGACCATGACATCGGACGGGGCACCGTTTGCCCGGTTTTCGGCAAGGTATCTCTCGAATGCCTCAGCTGCGTCTGATTTGTGCTTCAGGAAATAGACACGGTTCCACCTTGTGTAATCATCCTTGACAATGAGAGTGTACCACTTTCCCCCCAAGCTCTGCACCCTAGCTTTTCCACTCAAATCCACGAAAACTCGCTGCAGTTTCTTAACTGCTCGGGTCGACGTTTTGTTGGGGATGGGCTTGGAAAGCCCCTTCGCCGTCGAGCACCCCAGGCACTCCCGGAGCTCGCCCACCAGCGTCGTCCCTTGCTGCTTCGCCGTGGTCCTCAGCAGCACCTCGTGGGAGTGGCCGTGCGCGCAGTGGAAATCGTTGATGTCAACGGGGGTGCTGGGCGCTTTCGCGTTGCCAGGAGCAATTGCGGCACAGGCATGTTCGGTGTGTGTGCGGAAACCGTTTTGGACGTACAGGTTACCGCATCGGGGGAAGTACACCACCTCCCCCCCCCCTCTCTCCAACTCCAACTCGTGTTTGTTGAGGGTTTTGGTTTCGAACCCGTCGTCGAAGAGGGAAGTGAGAGATACTAGGTTGTAGTCTAGTCGGGGGACGTGTGCAACCCGTTTCAACAACAGGTCGGTTGTACCGTCGCGCGAGCTAAGGGTTACCGTCACGTCGCCATACCCTACGATAGGGAAGGTTTCTCCGGCGGCGACGCGCACACGTCGATCACACTCTTCGTAACGAACGAACCCATCTGAGTTCGCGAACATGTGGGTGGTAGCGCCGGTATCGGCAACATACCTACCCCGCCTAGCCTGCTCTACACCCCCTCGACCAACGACTTTGTGACACTCGCCTGAGATGTCACCGACCACCAGCGCTTCTTCTGCCACGTCCAGTGCTGTGGCGTCCGCAGACGCCCTCCCCGCCGGCACTTCCACCACGAGCACCGCCTCTTCGGTCGGGCACTTGCTCTTGTCGTGGCCGTAGCCCTTGCATGTCTCACATCGCACGGGCTTGCTCTCGGGGCAGTTGGCCACCTGGTGGCCCTTCTTACCGCACCGGAAACAGCGACCGCGCATGCTACCCGCATCGTCGTCGCCGCCTCCGCTGCCGCCTCCAGCCTTCGCGCCACCCCCTCTCCCCTTCTGGTTGCCGCCGCCGCCGCCGCCACCCTTGCGGCGGCCGCTGTTGCCGCGGCCCGGCGCTCCTCCCCCGCCGCCACCGTCACTCGCGAGGAGAGCATGCTCCGCCCTACGCTGGCCCTTCGAGGCCTTCCTTCCCTCCGGGAGGCTCGCGTGCACCGTGCTCACGATCCTGACGATCTCGGCCCTATCCAGCGCCGTTGCTGTCTCCAACAGGAACTTCGCTTGTTGGTACTCGGGTGGGAGGGAACCAACGAAGTGGGCGAGAACGAAGGGTTGTTCAGCATTGAGCCCCTTTTCGCGCAGGCGGGCATACAGCAGCTCGAGAGAGTAGAGGTGCTCGATGGGGTTGCTGTTGCTGTGTGTGGGGATTGCAAAGTCGAACATCTTCCGCATCAAGGCCTGTTTTGACCCCTGTGACTCCGGATCGTAGACCTTTTCCAATTCCGCAAGGACCTCTTTCGCTGACGTACAGTTGCTGATAATTGCTTTGTCAGCTTCTTTTACCACAGCAGTAGTGATAAAGTGGAACGCCTGAAGCCCCCGTTGGACTTCTGCTCTCGTGTACCCCCTACGGAGCAGTTCGGAAGTCGGCAAGTTTGGGTCGCCCACGGGGATACTGCTCTCTGCATCTCCTATAAACAGCCCGTCCAAGTCGATGGTCTTCGCAGCTTGGATGAATGATTTTCGCCACGAGTCAAATCCGTGGCTACGGCTTTTTCCGTCTAGGAGCGGAGCATTGACCGTTACCCTCTTCATGTGGCTACTGCTGTAGCCGTCGAGGTATTCTCCATTTCCTCGAATCACGGGTATCTCACCTGGGGGGTTTAACCCCCTCGCTTCCCCGTAGTCCGGTCCTATGCCCGGGCCCACTCCGGCTGGTCCAACAGGGTTCGCTCCCGATCTGCTGGCCCAGCCGCCTTCCAGCAGCGACCGTGGTCCTTGCCCACTATCTCTCGTTTGCTGCTGGAGAAATCCCCCGCCACCGCCGAGCGGCAGCGTGGGCTCTTCTCGTTGGCCTCTGGGGGCAGCAACCCAGCCACCCCTACTGGCTGCATCCGCCACGACGCTGCCAGGCTCCTTCTTCTTCACCGACTCCTCCACCAGGGCCGCCAATTGCGAAATCTGCCGTTGCAAACTTGCAAGCTCCGCGTCGCGGCCCTCCTGCACTGGCGGGCGGATCTGTTCTCCGCTCGCAGCAGCGCGCTCTTCGTCTCCAGCAGAGCTCATCCCGATGTGGCTTCCCTCGAGGGGCAAAACTCTAGAGTGTTTGCGGCCTACGCCACTTATTTATCGGGTGAGACTGTTTTGGTGATGTATTAACTTCACGGGAGGTAGACGACCATCCTTCACACGGACGAAAGAGGGAGTGCTCAAAGAGCGGCTCCCACAGCAAGGAGGGGTCCCGTGAATTATCGCGGTGCCCCCTATCTAACGGTTATCTTACCAGTCTGCGTGACACAAAATCATCCAGCAGATGTATCCAACAGCAATGTTCGCAGACTCACGAACATTGGCTCCCTGAAGCAACCATCGTTTGGGGCGGTTTCAACCAGCCGATTGTCGGAGTGGTGTGGCCGGCCTCCCTGAAGCAGCTATCCTTTGGTCGGTTCTTCAACCAGTCTATCGCCGACGTCGTGTGACCGACCTCCCTGAAGCAGCTATCGTTTGGTCATATAGTTAACCAGCGTATCTGAGAGATGTGGCCGGCCTCCTTACGACGCGAGGCTTTTCATGGACGTCACCTGCACCGAACGTGCACGTCGTCGAGGCACGCCTCTAGCTGGGTAGACCTACTTGCGGAACTACCCGGGGCGGTGTGGTTTGGAAGAAGGGACCGTTTCGGGACAATTTTGATCTCCGTGCAAGACAAGCCTACAGCTGTCCTCGACGACGAGGTTGACGCCCGACCGTGTCGATCGGCGATCCCTTTCATGCCACTACTTCTTCCCTTCATGGCATGATACGATCGAAAGTGGAACGAAGTGCTTGGGGAGCAATAGCGCAACTATCGCGGAGGACTTCTCTGGTAGCCGTTCCCTGCTAGCAGGATAGAGCAGAACGTTTGGTGTGTATCGCGCATGGATTGTGTGTTTGAAATGTGACTTGATTTATCTTGCGCTCCGAAAGGACTCGATAGTCACCTTGCGTTGCACTCGACTGCCGCCATTCCGTCAACTCGACGAGACGAGCCGCAAGACTCCGGCCCAAGGGTGACTGGGGTCACGCGAGGTCACCGCCAAGAGGGAACGGCCTGGACTTCCGTGAGCGTGGAGATTGTCATTGTCACAACTTCTGTGACATAATCATCATGGCACAAAATCTATAGCCAATTTTGGTCAGCCGCGCAAATTGGGGACTTGAGATATTCTTATTTAGCTTCGGCACGACTAAACACCCTACCGGTGGGGTAATTTCTTGCCCATCCCACTCAGTGGGGTGTTCAGCCGGCCGATCAAGTTTATACAGATAGCGCCCACAGTTTAGAAACGTCAAGATCGGGTCAAGCCTCAATCCCTAATTTTGGGTCGAAGTACCGGCCCAAGTCGTCCAATTTTAAGAGGCATTCCTTTTTGCTTTGGACTGTCGGATCCTCCCGATTCTCTTCGTGTTTCATATTTCTGTCTTTTGATCTATGAGGACAATCAATCCACTCCGTCAAGCCCTCAAGAGAGGTGGTGGAAAGTGCCATCAAACCAGTTCAACAGCGGCGAGCATGCGGTTGTCCGCGATGTGTGGCAGCCCTACAGTACAGCACCGTGAACAGCAGGGGCGGGGGGGGGGGNGGGGGGGGTACTGATAGTCGTGCATGCCGTAGTCGTTAGACAATTGACCTCGCATCCCTACTGTTAGATATACTCGCAGCAGTATCTGGTCGAGAGGATCCCAGGGGGATACGTGCTGGGAATTTCGTGTGTTGAAGGTTACCACCGGCGCAGTCACGGGGACCCGTTAGGCGTGGTCGGTGCGATGAGGCTTGCGTGCGTGCTGCGCACTTCTTCCCTCTCTCTCTCCACTACCACCACCGTCTCTCTCCAATCAAGTTTCCTTCTCCCACTCTCTCTCCAACTCTCTCTCAACCTCTCTCTCTCGGCCTAACACGGCCGACTACCCAGTGCCCCAAAGTAACGTCCAGAACGTGCTTGCTGCACCCCGCGTAGTTTACCTTTCACACTAGTGTGCCGATATCACGGTATCTGCGCGCGGGCATAGCCTTCCGGGGGTTGTGCAGTCACGTGCAATCGGTAGACTCGCGCAACAACATGAACCATGGAGGGCATCGACCTCTCCGCCCTTAGCGGGGAAGAGCTACAGCAAAAAGTGGAGGAGATCGTCCAGCAAAGAGTACAAGCCGAACTCGAAGCCAACAGGATCAACGAGGAGGGTGAAGTCACCTACGCCCAACCACCACCAGCCGGCAACCCAGTCCCACCTACCGGCAGTCAGCTATCACCCTCCAGCCAGGGTAAAACAGCTACCTTCAACGACCCCAGCAGCGTCGTACACATCGTGGCGCAAGCGGCCAAGGCAACAGCTGAGGCCATCGCTGAACAATAGGGCTGTGCCCGCTCAGGCACGTTACGTGTCAATCCTGGCTCAGAAATCGAACCTTGGCTTGGCAGTGTTAAGGAGCAGGACTTGCATATTATGTTTGATATTTTTCGTGTTGAGATGATTTCATATTTTCAGGAGGAGGGTAGTAATGATGCGTTGGAACTGGAGGTCGAGGTCAAGGTCGGAAAGAGGGGTGTGAATGTAGGAGACCTTCGGAGACTTTCTGGTAATGAAGTAGTAGACAAGTCTTTCAAACTGTGGAATATCCTTATTAGCAAGGTTTTGTGTCCCCCGATTCAGAGCTTGATTCTGGCGTGTGAGAGTCCCCAACAAGGCTGGAAAATAGTGACAGAGTTCTACCAGGAGAAAAAGCAGTCAGGAAAGTCGAGGTTGGAGCAGGACTGGAAGGAGTTGGAGANATAGGGCTGTGCCCGCTCAGGCACGTTACGTGTCAATCCTGGCTCAGAAATCGAACCTTGGCTTGG